TCATCAAGGCGGAGCTCCAGAAGCTCATGCAACATGGCCTTGACGGGGTGCGGGTATTCCACACCCTCTTTCACCATCAAGTTGCTCCATTGGCGGAGAGGACGCGGCCGATGTGGAAGTACAGCGGCCCGACGGACCCCGACCGTGCGTTGCCAGAGGAGCTACCGAATGATGAGGTCTAGAGTCACCTTGACCGGGTGCGGCAGCTGAGGCCCAAGGAGAACGTCGATGGAAAGCCCGGACCTCTTAACTCCTTGGTGGTGTCCAAACTGGTATGCTCCCCTCTCTTTACTCCGTGTTCTTTTCCCCTTTGTTCTCCTGTTTTTTGATTGAGTCGCCTGTTTCATAGGGACTTGGAGTTTACAAGTCCCAGCCGCAACTTCCGAAGGGACCGGAGGGCGCGGCTCGACAGGCTGCCCAAAAGGAGGCGGCGGATGCCAAGAAGAAGAAGAAAGTCGAGGAGGCTCGGTGGAAGCATGAGAAGGAGAAGGAGATCACCCGGCGTGTGCGGGCCGGGAAAAATAGGAGCGATGTCGAGTCAGAGCTCGAGTCGAAGGACCCCACAGAGGTGGGGGATGACATGATCTTCTCCGAGGAGGAAAGCCGGGAGGTCATTGCGACCTCGGTGGAGCGTCGTGATCCTATGGCCGCGTCCGCTGGCGGCGAGTAGGAGGCAGAGAGGCATGGCGATGTTCCCGCGCTGAGGAAGCATGCTACGAGCGTGGACGCCATCGGTGAACGGGAGGCGAAGCGGACGCGGTCAGCGCGCCCTTCGACGGCGTCGCCGGCCTCGTCCCCGCCTGTTGTGGACGTGGCGGGACAAGCCCAGCGGTCGAAGGAGCGGACTCGTACCCGCGCATCGTTGGGGCCGGCGCTAGTGTGCGACCCGCAAGAGGAGGATGGCTGACGGGGCTGAGCATCGCCCCAACTCCCGTGCAGGAGGTTTGGAGGCCCACCTTACAGCACGCCGTGGGGAGCGGCAGGGAGAGCAAGGTGGTGGCGGCGGATCCTTCCCTTCCGGGGGCGGCGCCCCTCGGATCGGTCGCTAGTACGGCGGCAGCGGCGTTGGCGGCGATCCCGGTGGCGACGGCGGAGGTCACGTCGGAGGTAACCCTTGCGGCCCCTCTTCCTCCGGCTGCGGCAGAAGAGGAGAGGGAGACCGGGTTCCCTGCCTCGCTGGGCGGAGGGCCGCATGGTTCACCCTCCCGGTCAGAGCCGAAGGTGCTGGGAGATGCGGCCGGGTCGGAACCGGAACATCTGCCGGTAGCCCGCAAAGACGAGGTGGTGGAGATCCCCTCCGACAGCGAAGCATATGTCGAGGTGGAGCCGCCGGCGCCGTCGCGGGAACTGACGGTGGTTGGATCGTTGGCTAGGCCTTCCAGCGGGTTCGGGGTCAGACATAATCAGAGCATTCTACGTTTCTCGAAATAGTCCAATGGTCTACCTATTTATTTGCAGTTATTTTTTTAATAATGGAAGTTTTTTTAAGGATACTCACATAAAGATGATACAAAAATCTTGGAACACACTTCCTACCTCTACATATTTGATGCACATGGCCTATTAAAGTTGAAGAAAGTAGAAGCACTATGATGACTGTCAATCTATATATTATTGTCACTCATGTGCCTTGGAGAAAAACTTCTTGGTCACATCTGCCAATATTTTGTGAGGCTAGCTTTTGGAGGATAGCCAATATATATATATATACATATCCAATGATAATTGAGAATATAGCCCGCAAAGAGAATAAATGTTTTTCATAAAAAATCATGACATTCATGCATAATAATAGCAGCTTGCTCTAGTGGGTAGGGATGAAACTGGATCGGATATGGACAGATACCAGTGATCCTGTATTATGTCCCATATCCCATATTTTTTTCTCGGATCTTAGAATATGATACGGATCATTCAGATATTGATATCTATCTCATGTACATACCAGAAATTCAATTTGGATTCGGATACAGTCGGATATTAAATGTCCGGATTCAGATACAAATTATCCATATAGCGTTTTGACTAGAGGTGAAAATAGTATGGATATTTTCCGACCGTATTCGAGACCGAACCCGTTTAGAGGGGTCCACATCAGTCCGTATCCGAGTCCAGATATTCAACATCCGATACCGTATCCATATCTGAATACTCAAATCGCATATTTATGATCTCGATATCCAATCATATCCTATCCGATATGGTTGATACTATCCATATTCGAATTCGAATTCGGACATAAATATGAAAATAAATGTAATATCAGTGATATTCATCCATGTCCGATCTGTTTTCATCCATAGTTTTGACCCTTTTATAAGGAAATATCCGTCCCGTTTTCATCCCTACTTGTGGGAATAGTAGCTTCAAATATTTCCTAATTTTTCATAGCTAACTATCAAACAAATGTGACATAGTATGGCGTTGAAGAAGAGCTGAAGCCACCTCTATAATAGCCCAAACAACACAACTAAAACTATATTCAAAAGAGGTACTTAATTGTTTGGTGACAAAAACAATATTTCTCGCTGCTCGTCAAGTTGCGCTTAGCGAAATTATCCTATTTACAGTGACAGGGATATACGGTGCCTCAAGAGCATTTCCAAGCATGGGAGGCAGAAAGTGTGAAGCTCCAATTGCATCGCCATCCAACCACGATATCCTCCTAAAAACAATTAGATAATCAAACAATTCCAATTACTGGAATGGGTCAACAAAGCATCAATCCTTTGTTGTGTAGAGTAGGGCTCTGGCACTACGGGTTGCCGGAGTAGTGAACTCCTCCATCCGTGTACCCCAAAGAACAACACAAACGGTCAAATGCTCATCCCAACACTGACACCGGCCAACTTGCACGGTCCCGGTAAATTCAGGCCCGTCGTACTTGCCAAATCCGGCAAGGTGCATTGCATTTGGAACTAGTGGAAACTTGAAATGACATTGCAAAGTTGATTGGTGACGCACTAACGCTCTAGATGATGGTCGAATATTTTGCGAGTCATGTGGTTTTACGTATTTATTAAACATGTGTAACAATAATGATATTACATCCGTCCGAAAATAATGCAATTTCAATTTTATTTATAGTCAAGCTATCTAAATTTATCCAAGTTTATATAAAGGGTAAAATCTATTTTTAACCTCCAACTTGCATGGTTGTGCGTTTTTTAAACCTGGACTATGAAATTGGGTGCCTGATGCCGCCAACTATTAAAACCGGACCAATTTGGTCATCTTGCTAGTTTCAAAGGTGGTTACCAATTTTGTAAAATTATTAACAACTAATTTGATCTAAAAAAATCATATAAAATTCTATTTTAAATCAGAAATATACGAAACTAGTACATTTTTGCTCATAGTCATTCACGCTACTTATTTAAAACAAACAAGATCAAAATAATTCCAAGTAGAGCAACACGGATAGAGATAGATAACATTTTTGGAAGTAAAACGTTACTAGTTTCACACTTCTAATTTAAAATAAATTAGTTCTGAAACTTTAGAGATTTAAATATATTTTTAGTATTTTTATAAATTAAAAAAACCACCTCTAAAATCAGTCAAATAATCAAACTGGTACCTAGTTTCGTAGTTCAGGGTTGAAAATCGGACTACCATATAGATTATTGATCGAAATATGAACTTTGCCAATATATAAAATACATTAATTTTTTGTACAAATATTCAAGAACAAGGTTACAACTTGTTTAGTTGGCAGAGGCCTCCCTAGACTTAGAGTGAGTTGGTCTGGCAAAATAAGTTTCACCAGTGTTAATTACGAGAATGGGGTTCTTGTTTTCACTCAATCTAAATAAAATGATCCTGGTATCATTCTAAGTTTTGATGGGACAACACCACTGGTTTTTCTTCTGAAAAGACATCGTTTTTATTTTGCGTATATATAAGCATATGTTCCTATTGAATCAGTTGGATCAGATGGTCCGTTACCGTCACATTGCTCAAATCAAGAATATTTCAGTGGAAACACTATCACGGTGTCCGCACCATTTCATTGTTATTGCACGACAATGATATTACCGAGTGGTGGTGAATTAGGTTGGTTGTGGCTAGCCGCTAGCTAGCTCTACTGTTGATTCTGACAGAAGTTATCCAAATAGTTGTGTTATTATTAGAGCTTATATTTGATGCATAGGGCTAATTGTTACCTTTTTTTTAGTTCTAGACTATCGAAACAGGAGCTAATAGGTGAGCTAATATTTTAGCCAAGGCTTCAACGACATGTTAGCTAACTATTTGACCAGCCTCAACTAATTTAGGCTATTTTTTAGTCCTAATTAATAACTAGGGCTAGATGCCTTATTCTTTGACAGCACCATCACTGCAGAATCATTAGGTTTCAAGATGGCAGAGATTGCCAAGGCACCAACACCTGGAGCCTGGGGCTAGTGCTAGACTACTGGCTTGCTGTAGCATTCAGAACTACCACTACATCTGAAATTCAGTTCACCGCCACATCAGTTTATACACTTCAATGGGTGCGAGACAAACAAAATACATACGAATCCAAGATCTCCATGCTTCCGCCTATAGGCAGAAACAAACATTGACCCGCTTTGGCATAGCTGGGCAGGCACAGTTAAAGAAAAAAACTGATGATCTCCTGATTTTATTAGTAAGAACTAGGAATTATTGCCGTAATTAAAATAAAATGGGGGGGCGGGGGGCGGCAAAGAAAGTTACAGGAGCCTGTGGTGGCAGTCTGTTGATATGAAGCAAAGCATGGTGCTGACCAATCAGTACAGTACCAACCAACTACTAGATGTGGAGCTTTCATTCATACATTTTCTTCATTAACATAAGCAAAACTTCGGATGGCTTGCAATCAGTATTATATATGTTTACACCCATGTAGATGTAGGCTTAGCAAACACAAAAATGACATAATTTGAAGATTACTACTAAAAATATGATGAATGTGATTGAAGAGCATCTGCCTAATCGATACCAAAGAATCTACTCCATTCCCATTCCAATTTTGGCTATAGCCCTGCCTCCGCCGCTCGCCGTGGGGTGCTCTTCCGGCGGCTTCCTGACTGCCGGAAGCCATTGGACCTGATCGACTCATCATTGCTGGACCGAGTGCTGGAGCTGTTCTCCTCGACGTCAAGATTTGATTCCTCTTCTTCCTTGGGCAACCTGTTCCTCTTGTTGCCACCAGCTCCTGCGGAAGCATGCTCTGTTCTTGAACCCTTCAGCTTGGCACCATCCCCTGCTCCCACCACGTAGTCCACGTCGCCATCGTCGGCGGCCGCCTCCAGTTTCTTCATCTCTGCTTCAATGATCTTCTCAGCAGCGACACGCTTCTGCGGCCGTCCCCTCCTCTTCCTTGCAGGCACGACGACCTCCTCGCCGCTGCTCCCCTTGTCCTCGTGTGTCCTGCTCCTGCCGTTGGTGAGCTGCTTCCTCCCTCTGCCTCTCCCCCTACCCATTGATGATTCAATTTAACAGAAGAAGAAGCTGCAGTGTATGAAGTACCAGGCAACTAAGGAAGCTACGAGATGCGAAGATATATCTAGATGCTGCCTATTCTGTTTGTCTTGTTGCTTCCTTTTTGGACCTCACAAAAATATCTCACTTCTTGACAAGCTGTAATAGAAAAATCAAGAACCTAATGTAAAACCCAAATTGGAACATGATTGAATATTCAAGCATGGATGAAAGACTTAGACTCCTCAGAGTTCTAGTTTGATAGATCCGCATCAATAATCTCAAGAAACATATATCCAGATACATATCCCTAATCTCATATTGGAATGCGGCAATATAATCCACAAATGTCACCAACAGACTAGAGCAGAAGCATTTAAATGATTCCACAAGCAATAAATAGATAGAGGAGATAGAAAGAAGCGGCTGACCTTGCATCAAACTAGTACGTCCTTGAAACATCCACCTGTAAACTCATTTCCCCAAGCTCAGCAGTCAAAAGATGAACTTTTTTTTTCTCTCTTTCCGCTAGCACCGAAGGGGGGGAAATACTGCAGATTGGCACTGATCTTGGATCGAGATTGAGACACCGGGAGGGGGGAGACCCACCACAGATCACGAAGAAGCCATGGCTGGGCCAAGGTTGGTTCTGTTTGGGGAAAGCTGGAAGATTCTTGAATGAGGCTAGCAGTGCAGTGATGCTGTGTGGCCTGTGGGCGCCGGCCGGACTCCTCGGTGCTTGAGCTCCAACAGTAGCTGTGAGCTCCCTGCGGCTGCGGGACAGCAGCAGCAGGGCACTACTGTACACACCACGCGATGAGAGAGAGAGGGAGAGAGATGGAAGGGTGGGGGCGTGCCTGTGCCTGTGCCTGTCCCTGTGCCTGTCAGCCTGTGCTTGCTTGCGGGAAGAGTTGTTTTTCCGTGGAGCTGTTGTCACTTTTGCGCTTTGTTTACCCACCGTTGAAAATGAGTGAGCTGCGTTCCACTTCCCCATTGCCACTAGGCGCTGCCCCGGACAGATGCCAGTTTTTAATTATAATTAGGGCAGCATCGGCACATATTACTGCAGCATAATGACAAGCTTTACTTCTACCATTTTCTCGTGCCCTCGGGGGAATCAAAAGGCGATAGCAAGGATCCCAAGACTGACAGCCAGGGAACAACAAAACCAGGGGCCAGTAATCAACTGCTGCAGCCGTCAAGATCCATCGGTGTAGTACTGTAGTTCCTCAGTCCCGAATCCTTAAACTGCATGATAGGTGGAAATCTATGGATCGTGCACAGTCTGTTAGACAGAATATAGTACTCCCTCAGCTCTAAATTACAAGATGGTCTTAATTTTTTCTAGATAATCTATAAAAGTCAAGACATCTTATAGTACATGTATTCACTAATATGTGCAAGAAACGAAGGTAATATCCAAATTCAATTAGCCCAGCATTTCCAAGTTCAGACGATATCGGCAGTCAAAGTGATGTAACTATTTGCTTGACTCTTGAGTGTACCAAAATTATAATAACCCTATAAGTTTCGGACTTGGAGGTATTAGGGTCTGGAATATTAGTACTCAGGGAAACTTTCAGACAGGTTTGCTTTGCATGTGGTCCTGCACAGTACCCAAACCAAACATTTTATGACAGCGAGTGCATTCATAGCAAGAGTAAAGAATCCGCATTATTTTGAAAAAGCAAACCATCTGCAGCAACGATATCATTGACAAGTTCTGGCGTTTTCCATTATCTTGGATTATTTCGATGCTTCATTAATCTGCACTACCTTTTTTTTCCCCTGAAATGAATCATGGTGACTCCGAGATCGAGTGGGCCTGGCAGCTTTAGTTAACTACCCAAAAATCAGTTGGCGTGAGGAGGCGGCATGAGCAGCAGGCCATAGTTTGGGCCCGGGAAGGGGCGAGCCCAGCGCACATCTGGAGTTTGCTTCTCTGTGGGAAGACGAGCTCGACCATCTTCGAGAGCATTTTTAAATTTCACGTTCTAAATTATTATTTGATGAGTCATTTGTCATGAAAATTGCTTTCTATATCTTTTTACTCTCTAATATTTTTTCTATATCTAATGCGCACTCTAGAGAGCTATTCTCATCTTCTATTTTTTGCTAACAAAAAATTCAGAATAGAAGATAGCTATATTTAGATGACTATTTAGAAAAAAAACTATTGGAGGATAATTTTTCACCAAAATCTATATTCCTAGCTTTTAGGATTATACAGAGAGGCCGAGTCTGCTGGAGATGCTCTTGGTTAACTTAGTTAAGTGAGTCAGCCTCTTTAGAAATCCTAGTATTTGTGGTCAGCGAACACACTTGTGCTCACATGTCACAACTGGCTGTGCCTGTACATGTACCAACACCAGGAAGTAAAATTAATTTTCCAGGAAGCCACCATGATACAACAGACTACAAGTCTGACTACGAGAATGCTGCTCCTCATATACTCCGACAGATTTTATGTAGTGATGAGGTCGCGCCGGAGCTTATATAGTAGACCAGTAAACCGCTAAAATTCCATCTCCGTACGGGATACTAGATGGCTTGCACTGTAGAACATCTCCCAAAGTTTTTTTTATTTTTAACATTTTTTTAAACTAATTTTAAATCTAACACTGTTTTTAGTTTTTTTTCAATACTAACACTTTTGGCCGCGTCTATTTTCCTGGCGCGGCGAAACGCCTGTGCCACGCCATGTACGGTGGCGCGGCGAGAGGGATGACGTGGCGCTGACCGGTGACGTGGCAGGGTCTGTCGTGTCACCGATCTTGGTGCGGCAGTGCCGCGCCATCCCTCACGGCGTGGCAGTCCCATGTAAATATCGTCCGCGAGCCGCCCTCCCCCTGTCTGCCTGCCCGCCGCCTCGCCTACCTGCCGCGCCTGCCGCCGACCGCAGCCGCACGCCAAATTCTTGAACCCTAAGACCTAATTAATGTTTGGTTAATATCTAAATAGCCTCGGATTTGTCCGATTCAAAGTTCTTTAAGCCAAATCAGAATATAGGGTTTCGCTTAAGCACCGAGAAGGAAGGGAGTCGAATCAACTTCAACACTAAGCCTCAGTTTTTGTCCAAATGCGAACCCTAGGAATGCAAATTACCCAAATCCGGTAACAATCCCCAACCCTAAGATCAGTAAGACGCTTTTCACTTACCTTAAGAACTAAGATGGCGCCGTCGGGCTCCTTCACGAGTTCACCGGCAGCCACAAAAGAGAGCCACGCCGCCGCCCTGCTATGTGCGCGTGTGGTCTCCGTCCCAAAGCGAGCAGATCACCGCTGGGGCATCAAGAAGCCATGTCGCCGCCCTATTCTTTGGCGCCCGCTACGCCCGCCGCGCTCGCACGCCGGCGCGCCACCCCCTCCGGCCGCCCGCCGCGCCCTCTGGCCACGCACGACGGCTGCCCGCCGTGCCACGGACGCCCGCATGCATAGAAGATGAGGGCAGCAGGTCCATACATAGAAGTTGCTTATTTTCCTAGTGAAGTTGTTTAATATGCCTGTTAATGTTAATTTGAATATATACATGTGCTTTCATATTGTGTTCCTAGTGCATAACAAGTAGTTTAAATTTTACAATGCTACGTAATGTTAATTTGAATATTGTTAATTTGAATACGCTAACCCTTTGTTTATCAATTTATAACAGAATGACCCCTCCCACGCAGCACCAGTTGTAACCCCTTCTTGAGGTGGAGTACGATGACCCGCACCAAGCACACTTCTTGACTGACACCGATGCAGAGGTGCCCTTGCCTCCTTTGAGGCCCCGCACGCACACCAGGGTGCACCAGTGGGACGAGCGTTACGCGTCGTACATACGGCGTGCCGGCTTTTTCGAGCTTGTCCGTGTTGTCAACTACGGTCTTCCGCCCCTTGACCCAGCACTACTTACTGCAGCTGTAGACAGGTGCGAGTGCCTTCATTATACGTAAACATTCTTATAACAAATTTGAGGTAACTAACAGTCGTTCTATTCTTATAACAGGTGGAGCCCTAAGACCCACACGTTCCACCTACCTTGCGGCGAGATGACATTGACCATGCAGAACGTGAAGGCTATCTTTGGCCTTCGGTTGGAGGACTTCCAGTGACAGGTATAGTTGACAACGATCACTAGAGGGAGCTGGTGGCTTAGTTCACTAGCTTTCTTCCACCGGATGACGAGGTTTCCAAGAAAAATAAGTGAGCAATTCAAGCCTATTTAATACTTGCATTGCTTTCCTGCAGCCATCGGGTCTTATTTTCTTTGGTGAATTTCAGGAAAAGTTCGATGTTTCGTCGTCGTGGATCACAGAGCGCTTTGATTACTTGGACCCACAGGCTGATGAGGCTCAGATCGACAGGTTTGCTAGAGTGTGGCTCTGGCACTTCCTTGGTGCTTTCTTATTCCCAGACGCTTCGGGCAACATCATCAGCTAGATCTTTCTTGATATACTACGCTAGCCGTGGGATGACATAGCGGCATACAGCTGGGGCAGCGCAATCCTGACATGGACGTATCAACAGCTATGAGTTGCCTGTCGTCGTACCTCAGGGTATGCGAACCTTGGTGTTGCTCCTACCTACTCTAGATTTGGTGTTGGGAACGATGGCCCGTTGGGAGGCCCCTTGTTACCGGTTTCCCTGTAAGTACTTCGGTTCACTATATTCTTCAAGGCAGTTATATATGATAAAATTATTAATGGCTAATTCATTATCGTATTCAATGCAGCATTGGAACGGGCAGGATACATTGCCTACAGCTCTGTATATCTGGACATAAGCAGAGTTAGTTAGAGGGAATGCGAGGCGCAAGTACAGGGAATACACGGACTGTCTCGATGTCCTGACACGGTACTAGGTTACGCTCTCTTTACTATCATACATGTGTCTTGTTCGATGTACACTATATCACAACCTAACTTAATTATGAAATGTTCAGGTGCATTGGTGTCCATGGGATCCTCCGGAGCTCTAGGACTATCTGAGTCCTATCACTAGGGATGAGTCAGACGAG